TGTACCTCTTTAATCACAGCATTTGAGAGGCAGAGACAGGTGGATCTTTGTGAGTTCAAGGCCAGCCTGGTCTACATAGCAAGTTACAGCCCATCTGGGGCTACAGAGAGAATTTTTTTTAAAAAAGACCAAATAAATAAATAAAATAGAAAAATGTCATTTCCTATGGATGTTTATATTATCTTGCCTATAACAATATCTAATTCATGAACAATATTTTATTTACTTCATATGTATTGCATCCTTGTAACTCTACAAAACTATTATTATCATTTTACCCCCAGGATATACAACACAATCTTTGCACCCTAAATCACAAGCTACTATGGGAGTCAGTCAGATGGTCTGACTCTTAATCTCTAATTTTCTGCCTAGACACTAATCAGAATACACATAGAGAATTCATGGATCTTTCTAAAGAAAGCTAAACAGGGCCAGGCATGATGGCGCATGCCTTTAATCTCAGCACTTGGGAAGCAGAGGCAGGTAAATCTTTGTGAGTTCGAGGCCAGCCTGGTCTACATAGTGAGTTCCAGGACAGCTGGGGCTACAAAAAAAAAAGAAAAAAGAAAGCTAAACAGATGGCACTGGTGTGAGAAGTACTGTGTGTGACTTTCCTTAGAGTTTCAGAGCATTCACCAACCTCCTTAAAAAGAGAGATAATAGAGCTTATCAGCTAAAGCTGCAATATCTTTTATGATCCAAATTACCTTGCTGCCCTTCTATGTAAGACATATCCAGTTTTTGTTTAACAGCCATACTTTAAGGCCTATACTAATGTGGTCAGAGGGACTTAAAGGACAGTTTTTGCTCCTTGCCCTCCAAGGTTGACTAAGTTCCAGGGGACTATGGAACATCTCTCAAAATGTCCTGTAACTGTGGTGAGTCACCTGTCCTCTTGTTCAGGGAGGACATGGAGACCCTACCATGTCCTAAAAAGAGGAGGGTCGACTCAGAGGAAACATCTCATTCATGCTTCCAAGTGAAGCCAGACATGGTTCAACAGGACCTTTGACTTATCTTCACATAGATGGAACTGGTAAAAGAAAGAAGCCAGGAGCTCCTCCCAAGCCCAGGTGACCCCTGAGGAACAGATCCTCAAATGACCTTTATTTTTAAGTGTAAAAATAAATTGATTTATTTGGGCCAACTGTATAGTCTTAAACACCCAAAAGGAAAGTATAACCAAAGAGTAAAGTCATCAGTATACTTCTTTAAGAGTTCAAGGGATTACACTTCCCAGATATTAGGCTTAAGTCTATATAAAAAATTATTTAGACAATTATTTCTCATTGATGATTTTTGTTCCTAACCAGAAAGTGCTGCTCAAATGTAAGACTTCAAATCTTGGTCTCCAATACTGTAGCTAAGGGAGACAGACAACCAGCTATTGTTCTAAAATGATGGCTAAATTTGTTTTCTACCTCTATCTAGAAGGCTTTGAGAGGGAACTGACACTGATTCTAACCACTCCAACAGCTATCAAAATACCTGAAAGCAAATCCTGAATCCATCATTCTA